GTACATAACTTCCGATCTGGGATGTTTATTATATTAAACAGTGCCGCGCGCGCGCGCGCGTGCGTCGCTTGAGTGTGACTCGCTTTACGATGACTTCGAAATATATCTAAAATATAATATTATCGCATAGAGAAGTGCCTTTGCAGCAGTACTTAAGTGCCACTGCAAAAACCTGATATTGCACAATGATTTTTTTTCAAACCACGCGTTTTATATATGAATTTCTTGGAAGAGATATTCATCATGATTATACGAGAATATGTGTACTTCGTCTTCATTTAGACTCTTCTGTTAGATGTTTTTACGGGAGCGGGCATAGCGCCTCGCGGTAATAACCATGTTACTGAAATTAACGAGCGGCAATAGAGATCAAGCGTGAGATTAGTGAGTACATCATATTTAAGGGAGGGAACGAAAGCACACCACCACTTGCGAACGGCAATAAGAACGGCGCGTATCCGACTACCCTTGAAAACGTTTTCGGCGGCGAATGGTCCGCGCATACGCTTTAAAAAACACAGCACAAGTGTAGTGGTCATAAAACATAGGTCGCTAGTTGCTTTCCAGGAAGGCACCGGCTTCCCCAGCGCTCTTTTTACCGACTTTAATTGAAGCCCCGTACAACTTGAGGGATCTCACTCACTCCGTTTCGCTGCTGTTCTTTTTCTCCGCTGGCCGCATTACTGTTCGCCCTCGATGGAGCACTAGGACTACGAAGAAGTTTATGCTTTTATTGCGCACAAGCATACACAACGTGCGTATCCCATCGGCGTGCTGCAACTCGGCCGGTGCATCGTAAAAAGACGATATCAGCCGCGTATTTCGCGTAACCTCGCGATGTGTACCTTTTCAGGACGATTCTCGCCGCGCACGAATATAGAATAAAGGGGATCTCCTCGGCAAACGAATGATGGATGTAATTCGTATGTTTCCAGAGCTGGTGTTCGCCGACTCTTGGCGAACAATTCGTTGCCGTTTACATACAATAGCGGTTAGGGATTTTCATATAAACGATATGCAGAGCATCTCGCTCAATTTTTTTATTATATAGAAATTTTTTGACGAATACCAGGTCAGTCTCTTTCGAGCGAAAATTTGATCGGATATCACCTTTTTCCTGGGTTTTTTTATTTTTTTATTTTTTGATATTTTCCATTTTTGTGAAAAACGAACTTGCTTTATCATTCGAAAACACGCGTACAAAAAATTAAATTTCACCGTATACATATTTCAGAAATTTTTGATTACAATTTTTCCTGGAAATCGGAGCTTTTAATATTAGAGAACATTGGTTTCAAAGTCAGCTTTGCGGACACTTAATATTTAGTACTTAAGCGGATTGACGTCGTTTGGCGTCTTTCGAGTTTATGCACGATGGCAAAGAAGAACTCCCGGAGACGCCAGCGTAAACCGCATTGCACGCAGATTGTTAGATCTTCCCGCTCGCGTTTGACGCTCCAAGTACTCTATTGCTTCTTCTTTGATGTGGGTACTTCGGATGTTGTGTCGCATGATAATATTATTATACGACGGGTATATATTTGCTGCGCATTAGGTGTCACGCATATAAGTATCGCGTATTATCGTGATTGTGTGATTGCATAAGTTCCTCTCTCATTCGCGAGATTCGTTACGATCCCTCGAACTCTGCCGAAGAAATATAATCCATATGCGGGATCGCTGAATTACAGCGACTTCGGATATTCGCGTTAATAAACTTGCCAGCTGCGGTCGTGTGCTTCGCGTTTTGCCGTAGTCTCGAATTACCTCTGTGCGCGCAGAGCAGAGTTACTGAATATCGTTATGCGAAATTATGAAATGTTCGGATAGCTTTCTCGAGAATTATTATTTCTAAAGGGCATTTCTATTCATATGTTCATATTATATTAACAAAAAGTTTTTCCATCGTCTAGAAATTTAAAATACGCTTATGTGTCGGCTTTATTTGCTAATATTCTTGATTAGGTCTTCTACTAAATTTTAGTATAAACAATCAACATGATATATCATTATCGGCTAATGCAATAATGATTGAATATATTGTGTAATTATGTTGAACTTGAACTATTACGTTTTAATAAGAGCTACAAACTGAAAAATTGAAAATAATAAATATTAATAGAAGAAAGACTATAAAAAAATCAAAGCGCAAAAAATTTACAGTTTTCTACAACTTGGTTAGAAAATAGACTTGGAATTCAGAAATTGCAGAACCTTAAAAAATTTTTTATTTAGTGCACGAAAGCAAGAAAGAGCACAGTGGTAAAAAGTTACGAGTATGCTAGGAGTGTGCGATAAATTATGGCACTTCTTTAGAAGTTTACTCGTAAAAAATTATATGCGTGTATATGTATACGTGCAAAAATCTTTAAAAAAATTTGCAGCAAGATAGGCGAATTTTATAGTAAGACGTAAAATAAAATAAAATTTCCAAAAACGACATTTGCTCGAATTTTTAATACATGATTTTCTTGTAGATAAAAAACAAAAAATTAAAAACAATTTTAATTAATATTACAATATAGATGTTTTAATTGTTAATAATGCTACACATCTTAATTCTGTGCGCTGTCTTACAAGATTTTTGACAAAAAAAGCGCAAATTTCCTTTTTGGTATCAATGTCATGCATTAACAAAATTCAATATGATTGAAAAAGCAAAGGCCATTAAGCCGTTTAACGTTCGCGTGAAGAAATGTGGACTCGTCGCCGCACTTTCGGCAAAGTTCCTGAGATCCTAGATTATGGTGCACTTTCTTCGGCGGCCTCCCCTCCGGCATCTTTGCGGAAGAGAGTAAAGTTCTCCTGTAGCTCGTATAAGACTAAGCGGGGGGCCGCACTCCTACCTGTGTTTCTTTCACGTTATAGCCCTTCCAGCTAAACTTCCGAGCCATTAATTTACATTAGGACATTTTTCAAGAGCGTGCTGGCTCCCGGCGCCGCGCACCTTAAAATTGGCGAAGTCTTCTTTTTAACGTCTTTTCTCTCTTACACGGAAGAGCCCTCGAGTCGCTTTCCCCCGCGCCCCTTGTCGACGTCACGCTTGAATTCTTCACCATTAAACGACGACGCGACGGCAGAAAAAGGAACGAGCCGAGCGTATATGAGATAACTTCAGAATTTCATTTAACGACGTGCAAGCGTGCACGCGGAAGGCGCCGGCAGTCATTAAATCACGCCCGTGGCGGGTCCGTCGCGCGGCTTGATTGATTTGTAAAGCGGTCCGTCGATACCGGGATTGGCATTACTCTTTAAATTCAACGTGTTTACGTAACCGTATAAGTGCTACATATATCACTTGATAATTTCATTACCGCTATGTTCTCACACGAGCCCGTTGCGTCAACATTGAAACAACAAATGCACCGGCTGTCGCTAAGTAATTTATTAACATCGTAAAACTCGGACTGACATTAGCGCGAGCGTTTGCTGTCGGTTTTAGAATTCTTCCCATCAAACCGTGGCCTCTGAGGGCACGAAATCTCCACGTAAATTCTTAAAATTTCATTATTAGTTTGGATCATTAATGCGGAATACGATATAATAAATACATAATTCAGGATTTGTCCCATCATTGAAAAATGTATTTGCAAAGCATCGGCTAAGAACGCCATCGTCCGTGGGTGAATCGTTAAATTTGCCGTTAAAACGCTTAGAACTAATTAACTGTATGCTATTATAAATACTCTTTAATACTTCCTGGTTGTGATTACAACAATATATAGCTGATCTTTATCATAATAATTTATGTACATAGATGTATTAGGCAGGCAGAAAGAATGCCTTGCTTGAACGAGTAGAAGATAAAAGTTCTGTTTCGGAATGAAAGATTCGAGTTTTTAGAATCGCACTATAAAAAATGGAGTATCGAACGTATATTGTTTTTGAAAGTTTGATAAGAGCACCCGAGAATATAAGGTTCGAGATCGAAAAAAAATTGCTCGTAAAATGCGTCGCTATGTACGCGAACGTACGGGTTTAATGCTCGTTCGCGCAGACGTCGAAATAAAGAGAGACAAAATAACTGTCGTTGACATCATGTCAACGACAGCAAATATCCCGCGGCTATCCGGCAATATTTTCGGCCGTAATATTTGTATTACGTTCAACGCGACGGAGTCGCACGGTCACGCGTAAGCCTCCGCCGATTGTAATTTTTGATAAATTCATGCTACGTTCAAATGTTCATGAGCGAATGTCGGGAATATAAAAGGCAGGCTGCGGCGCCAATCGAGTTTCCTTGTTCAACTCAATATGAAGGTAATAATGAAATCGAACTCTTTTCTTGTTACCGTTAAAGGATGACGTACCATTCTACGGCTGGAAACGCACGCTTTATACCGTCGGTCTGTTTCCGCCCCTTGCAGCTACATTCATTTCTCATTTCGAACACGTCGATGCTCGGAGCAGAGCTGAACTCGAAAGTAGAAGAGAGAAAATCAACTTATGAAAGCCGGTGCTCGATCTAACAAGTCCCTGTTTAAAGTTCAAGACTTCAGTTGCAAAGTGCCAATGACTCCGTCGCTTCCAAATTGTATTTAAACAAAATAGTTTATAACTAGGCAAATTCATGACGGGAATAATGTATTTTAATTACTTTTTCTTAGACCTCGCTTTTTGATAATTCAATATCATGAAAGTAATAATTGACTGCCATTAGTTAAATGTTGAAATTCATTTAGAAATTGTTTAAAAAAGAAAAAATTCTAAAATATCAGATTTATCCAGCGAGTAAAACATTTTTAGCGTGTGTATTTTTTATAATATGCAATACAAGTTAAATTAAAAATTCGCGCACATGTTATTAAAAATACTATTTACAACGTGCTAGATAAATGTTTCACTTCCTGAATTAAACACTCGTATTTGCAAAACTCGACAGACAGTTCAATCGCGGATTGAAATACAGTTCTGATTTTATTTATCGATATGTGTACCCGTATTTTACTTATACTCGAGAGAGCGGTTCACGTAAACGAATCTTTGTATTTCTGTTTCAGCACACACTCACGGGCCACTGCGCAAAGGTGATGGCGGCGAAGTTTCTTGGCGAGCCGTCAAAAGTAGTTACGGGAAGTTATGATCGAACCTTAAAAATCTGGGACCTGCGCAGCAAAGCATGTAAGTGAACGCTGCACTATCGATTAAAGTGATGAAAAAACGAATATTTTTCTTAAGTCGCTTGTTAACTTGATACACTTACAATTACCAGACATTAATCTGTTACTAAAATGACTAAAGTAATAACGAACGTTGCCTCACGTAAAATTATTCCAATATCACGCTGCATTGCGTATCTCTTTAATCAATAGAGTCGAAAGAAGGGAATCGAGTGAGCATCTATAAAGATCTGATTTCCGCGGCATAGTTCAAAACGCTTTAATTAAACTAGTTTATGCAAAACAATTCCGAATTCCATTTGCATGTATTTCCCGACAATATCGAGGTCTCGCCTGGTAATCCCCCGAAATCCGCAACCACTACAACGCAGCGGTGCAACGGAGATAAATACTTTTAACGCGGGCGAGAAAGAAAATAAGCGGCGATTCCTTGCGACTGACATATCACTGGGTGCATAATGCTAACGCGGTACATTCGTTCTGTCTCGTAACAGAAGCGCGCACGAGGTATGGGCTGAAAGTAATGCGCGGTGCTAGCGGTAATCACGTTGCCCATTACCCCTATTAGTCGTTGCATAATGCAAATACACTTACGAGCGCCCCGAGATAATAAAACAAACGGCGAATCTGCATGGTCATTCATATGTATATTCTGTTGCACGTCGTACGCGGCTGCACAATGGACCGCCACACAAAATATGACGTCCATAATGCTCGGCCCGGTTTGCACGAGGCGAGCCGGCATCAACGATGCCGTATAATAGCGAAGATTGAATAAAAACTGCTCTTCTGGCTTACAGACGGTTCGTTGCGTCGTCGTAGCTGCGTAAAGTTAATTAAACCGATAAGATCCCATCGCGGGGAAAAAAAAAGATTCCCCTCCCCCCCTCCCCCCACGCTTCCTTCATCCGCCACGTTCTAAACGATCTTCGTCGGCATAGAAAACTCTTTATCTGGGTATTGACGCTTTTAATAAATAATCTCTGCCGATAATGGCGGTTGATTTTGGAAAAAGTTGCAACTTGAGTCTTGAATAAGTAGCTCGAAGATAAAAAAAAAGTTTTCAGGAGCCTGGCCGAGTAACCCGGAAATTTTATTAATGGTTCCCTGTGATTAAAATGGCTTCAAAAAAATAACGCGCGAATTGACGATAACAAAGATAGATTTGTGTAATTTAACGAATGATCTGTCGGAAAAGAAAAGCAAGATTAATCATAAATCCATTACTTGCGGGAAAGAGTAGCACCTTAATTAGTTCTTAAACCAAGACGCGGGTTTATCCAGAACAAGATGGTAAGTATAAAATCTTACTCAGGCTTTGTCATCGTGTCATTAATCAGTCACTAACGAATGTTACTAGCTGCTTTTTACACGCTACCGCATAAACTGATTTTCATAAAAAGGCAGAAGAGCAATTAAAATATTGAAGATATTAATTATGATTCCAGTCACGTTTGTCTTATTTTTTCTTGCTATCTTATTTGTCGCAAAAGGCATATGTAACAACATACGATAACATGGATAGCATAAATTTTTAATTAAAAAATATCGACATGAAAATTCAATGCAAATCGCAAACCACGGCTATTGATTCTTCTTGTATGTTATACCTATTGTCCGAATCTCTCCCTTGGTTTGTATAGTATCTGTTTGAATACAGATGCGGTATAGGAATTACATACATCCTGCAGTACACGTATTCATATCGGAGATCGGTCCGAATGCGAACAGTCGCTATTAGAAGCCCCTTTTGTACCAGAAAATTCACACATCGTGATCTAATCTCGCACAAACAACTACTTCGCTCGACTGCAAATAATTGGAAACGTCAAATGCGATATTCGAATTTCGCAAGCGTCATGACCTGGCAGATGTTAGGCGAAGCTAATATCTAAGGCCACATGAGAATCTAATAATACCGTTTTCGAGCCATTAAAAATCGCCGAAATAATAACGCAATAATTCCACGTATTTAAAGGCAAAAGTAATTCCTTATTCCTGGAAAGCTGTTTTCGTGCGGAGTGCGCGGCATCGTGACCAGTACTCGTGCGAAACGTGAGGACTCTTCGGCGCCCTTCCCGCCGAGATTTATTACGTTAATTGTCGAACACCTCGAGGAAAAGAGAGCGAGAGAGAGAGAGCGAGAGAGAGAGAAAGCGGCGCAATCGTTCGACAATTCACTCGCTCGTGCCCGCGCGAACGGCTTCAGCGTATCGGATCGCAATTCGTTCGCCCGTGAAATAGAGGAATCTTTCACCACTTTCGGCAGCGCCCGGCGTGAGGTTCTACGCGATAAGCACGCCGCGCCGAAGACAGGGGCAGAAGTGATAATTTACAGCCGGATGAAAATGGCCATTCTCGAGGTAAAGCGCGCAGATCGCGCCTTGAGTCCTTCGTGCGAAATGTAGGGGCTTTAAATGGCACGAAAAATAAATTGTACAAGCCGCACGCAAGCGGCCGGACGCGCGCAGATAGCGCCGCTCTCTCGGAGGATCTCATTTCCCGCAAATGTATTCGGGATTTACATTCGACCCTGGGCGCCGGACTAATCTCGTGAAACGGCGAGCTCTATCTGAAGAACGGGCTCGAGATATCGATTTACACTTCGGTCAACAGCGCTATAGAATCCTGTGAGGCGCACGGCTAGCAGCCGCGCAGGGATCGTATTGACAAAGGATACAAAGCTGCAGATTGCTTAACACGACGGCACACAGACAGTATTAATTTGCAAAGTCCAGGATCGCCTTAAACCTGGCCTTTAGTTACCACTGGCTCGACCCGCAGAATAATAATTTGCACCATTAACTGACGCATACGACTGTTCGTGGACTTTCGATAAATTGCACCGCGCCGTCTCATCGGGAGAACATTGCTATCCTCTAATTAAGATATAATTAAGGACGACAACACAGTTATCCGTACTGTTTATACTTCTAAGAGACGTGACAAATACTTACTACCTGCTTTTAATGAGTAAATATCGAGAAATAAGTGATAACACAATATTTTTTTATCTGCATTAAAATGTGAAATTAATTGTATGTATTTTTATTTTCGAATTGATGTTTCCGCCAATCAAGAATTAGCCACTTTGCATTTCGCATATAATGATTGATCTCGCTACGGCGAGACAATTGACGCACGGCTGACGGTACAATTTTCAAAAGCGAACACCATTGATTTGTTTTTATTTCGTGCTCTCAAAAGACAAGCACTTCAAACAAAAAAATGAATTCAGTGACACAAATTAAATCAAATTAATAGTGAATAGACGCGGTTGTTACAATAAACTGTCGAGTTATCGGCTGTATTGGCCATGGAATGAAATGTCAATTATATCAACAGCGACTCATTTTTGCACGTACATTTTTGCGATCGACAGTATGCTTTTTGGAAGTTTTTTTCTGTTATTTAATTATAATCGTAAATTATATAAAGAAATAAAACAAACAATGTAATATTAATATACAAGTACAAGATTGTTTTATACAATTGTACGTAAAACGAGTTGACAAATGCTTTTGAGAATTGTATATCTCTCATATTAAGTTAAGACTAAAAGCGCAAAGTGCAAAGTTTCCTACGAGAACGGCAGGAGAACTGCATTATGCTTTGCGATATGCAAGCCTTTATGAAACTTGAAGGGCGCAATTTCGAAAAGTGTGTCTCCTTAAATCAAGTCGCCTAAAGTGATACAGCGCCGGAGTTGTAGCGGACGATAATTAATGTAAGAAGTCCGGGCACCATCACAAATCGTCCCGACTGAGTTTGCGGCCGGCCACATCAAACTTGCTACATAAATACAAAACTTTTTCGCCGCGCGAACGCACCGCGCATACCCGCGGGCGAGTCAGGAATTTGTCTTATTTTTTATGCAATGCAGCAGATAACAACGGGGCGTGTGTAGCGTAATTAACCTGTGGCTTAACTTCGTCACGTGATTTATCGCCCGGCGTCTCGCCCGGGTCACCCGGGTAGCTCTGAAGTCCAAGTTAATTGTACGCGTGTCGAGACACACGCGGATACCTGCGTGGATACACAGGTACTCCGAGGACATCCGTTTTAGCTTCGCGCCGGTCTTTGTTGTTGAGCGGTGGTCCTACAGCAAAATAGCGAAAACCGCGCTATCAAGGAAGAGGCCGGCGGGGGCGCAGGGTGGTTGTACAAAAGTTTCGCACAAATAAATCTCCGAATGCGGAGGCGCGCACAATGGGAGAGCGGCGCTGAAAGGGCGTTTAAGCGTGAATTATTGTTTACCGCGGACGCTTTAAGACAAAAAGGACGCTTAAAGTGGATCAGCTGTTTTCTATCGCGCTATTATCTACCCTCGCTGCGTCGCGCGCAATTTCGTGAACGCCCCGAGCGACTCTTCTGGACACAATCGTGCCATGGACAGACTGATTCCGCGCCGCGCCGACGAAATAACACCCCGTGTTGTCGTTTGCTCGCCACTCACTGAAAAGACCGCACTAACTGCTCTAACGTTCCGACAAATTAACCGCAACCGCTTGCATTCCTGACGTATGCAGATTGCGCCTCTTAGCCCGCGAGTGTTTGTACCGGAAGAAATTCTCTACTTAGATAAAAAAAATTTTTTTCATATAATGAATGTATCAAAAAGTGCTTTGACATCATATTAATTTTTATCTTTAAGTTTGCAACATACATAAAAATATTTAATTATCAGAATAGTTTAAAATTATCTATGCTTACTACTTGACATGTAAAATAAATGATTTCCCTTATGTTTTATAGACAATTTTAATGGAAACTATAATGACTAAATAGTTAAACTTGAATTTTTCAAAAAGCTGCTGAAAGAGAGGCCATTAAATTTTCATTGAGTAAAATAGATCTTATATAACCGAAAAAAATTGTCTCTTAAATAAAAAGTGGTCCGGTCTAAGATAATCAGATTTGAATAACGTATGTCTGAGGCAAAATTTGCGTTAATGTGAAATACATATTAATGCGAAAAGCATGAGGGAGAGCAAATTAACATCCCGAAAGCTCTTATCATGGCTGACGATTGAAGAAGGCTTACACGCAAAGCCGGTAATCCTTTATGCCTCGTTTGAGGAATAGATGTACGTTAATAGCATATATATAATGCACTTATCTGAATAATACATTTGAGTTTAAAGACCAGTACATGAAGAACTGCACTACGGATAAGAATGCACTCTGCGCGACATGTTGTGAAAATGGAGAATTTAAAAATTTAATAGAGATAAGAGGGAGATTTTCTCCTTGCTGCTAGACCGAAATATAGTTTCAACTTGTGTGCAAATTATAAATATTCCAAAATTATGGTCTTTTTTATGATTATGTCTCGACATTCATTAGTTGCGCTCACATTTTACTAAATATGTAGCGATACGAGGCGCGTTCATCGTGGCGCGGTTACTTGTTGCAAGATAAGACTGTTGCGAACTGCGCGGTATGAAGTGAAGTGGGAATTGTCGACAAGTTTCTCTTTATACACGAACGCACTTTAGAAGAAATTTTATTGCTTCCAGAGGAGTGCCCTACTCACCGCGTTTGAAGCTTGTAAAGTACTTTCCGCGAAACTCGTGTGTCGAACTACGAGGATTGAGTGTACGCCGCGCGCAAATATCATCGCCGTATATATATATTACCGTTCGAATACCTACAATAACGTCGCAATACGAAAGCGTTTGCAAATATAAAAAAAACGCATCGTTTCACGTGATTCCATTCGAAAATTTGATTGCTGATTGATTGATACTTGACATTGATTACAATTATCCGATTTAATATTCTCTCTCGGCGTAAATGGTCTCGATATTATTATCCTGTAAAAGACTACTTGAGTCATTATCACGATGCCGTAATTATGCGCATCATAACTTTTTGAAAAAAGTTTTATCAAAAAAGAAGTAAATTAATGTAACGTCAAATTTTCCATGGCTTTGCTAGAAGGTGATGTTTGATGTAATATATTCCAATGGAAATTATATATAATTACAGCTTCAGAAGCTCCGCGACGCGATTGAACGACAGTCTTTAACGCGTGATGGTAATTGAATATGCGCACTCGCAATATGCAGACAAGCTGTGAGGGAAGGTGCTTTCCTCCGCTGGCACGGTACGCCGTCGTGAAGTAATTGAAGCTCGTAATACCATCTTCGGAATGGAAACGGTGGACATCAGCCGCTAACCGACGTCTCGACATAGGAACTTCAACGGACTAATCGATCGGGCGTTAAATCACGTTTAACGTGGCGCCACAATAAAGTACGATAGAAATTGGCGCGCGCGGATTCGTAATCGCACAAAGGCCGAGGTTAAGGAAAGGTAGAATGGGAGGACGGGTGGCGAGGAGGCCGTAAGCGGAAAACTCGTAATTTATCCTGTTTCCAGTCTTGATGCCGGGCGTTTCCGCGACGCGCGCTAGCGATTTCCAAGAGCTTCGCGGAAACGTGGCGACGCGAACGTCATTTCCCGACGTAAATTAAGTTTGAAATCCTGCTTATTTCAGCGTAGAGATCGATGAAAGCTACTGCTAGGTAGAACTACAGTTTGAAAGGGGAAACCAGCCGTGATTCACATTCGATACAACTGTTAACTCGCTCCGCTTAAAGTCGGCGCGTGTACGTGCAATTCACGATGACGTAATTCTATTACTCTCGTGGAATGCTCAAATTAAATGCAGAAAGCGCTTAATTTAATCATACTATTAGCCTTGGAGGGAAAATTTTAGTTTTGAAGACTGCACGTTGAAAGACTATCCAATAGAAAAAATGTACTGGTAGTTTTTTTGTAATTAAAACTTGAACATAATTAACAAAATGATAAGTGTATAATAAATTGTATTATTTTAAAATACTTTAGTTTTCAATAATAACTGCTGCTTATATTACAATAAGTAAAATTTTAGCATTTTTGTCGATGATTATTTCTCTAACTCTATGCTTAAATATACGAGAGAGGTAATTATTTACAGTCAATAATTACCAACGTGGAAATGAGATTTCGTCTATTAAAGCCACTAAAATTTGGATTAAAAAATGTCAGTATACAAAAAATGTTGACTATCGAATTTTTAAAAAAATTTGTTTGAAATGTTATTTTTACATTGCGATTTTTACATTTTTACATTATTTTTTCGCAATTCATATTTTACATGTACTATGTGAAATAAATTTGTACATTAATGTAACGAATAATTTTGATAAATAATAAAGTGTAGCTTGCAGAAGACAACAATTCTGCATTTATATTAAAGTTAGCCCATCCACAAACGTTAAAAAAATATTTTTTTATGATAAATTACTTACCGCATCGCTGCTCTGTTGTTGCCCGATGCCTCCTAGGCCTCCTCCTCTCTGCAGTCCTTCGAGGCACTAACTCACACGCGTTCGCGATGCGCACCTTGCTCGTGCGCGTACTTGAATATGAAGATCGCGCGACACTTTAAACGGTACTTCCGACGTCGCAGGCGAATCGAACCGAATTGTTCAAGATGCGACGTTACGCGTGAATTCCGTCTACGTTTCAGACGACCGCATTTACCAATTGGAGCACGATTATCTCAAAATAGAGGCCGGAGAAGGAAAGGTTTGATTTATTATCGGGTCAATCGGATACCGGGTATCCCAGCAGCATTTTGATGTCAATACCAACGGACTCAAGTCAAAACATGCTGACTTCTGTGCCGTGGATCATATGATTTAGAAGTTACCGTCATGCTATTAGTAACTTCATGCTTTTTTGAGCATACAAAAAGCAACATGCATCATGCATCATATGTTGGCACGTCTGACACTGAAGGGTCCCTGAACGGAACTTAAAAGTCGAGAAGAAACCTCCTCTCGAAAGAGGTTCGACCGTGTTCCAATATTTATGTATTATCATTGAGCGGAATGCGTTCGTCTTACGATTCGCTAGAATATCGGCGTACTCGCACGAAATTATTACGGCACTCCCGACGCGCGTTTTGTTAAATTATAAAGTTACGGCGAAACGAATATGACGATTTGAAGCAAAAGTGGTAACAGTTTATCTGTAAAAAAATTAATTCATTCATGTTATAACAGCACTCAAAACTATATATAAATAAAAATAAATTGAGCAAATAGAATTTTATTTATAGAATTCTATTTTTCTATTCTGAAATTTTTTTATACATTTTTATTTGAATTGCTAATTTTACTTGTTAACTTTTTGTGAGCACAATATGATAACATTTGAAATTCTAGACAAACTTAAACCCGATTGTGTAATTCTAAATAATTACCCGAGAATAATCGGATGAAATTACAATCTGGCTTTTCGCATGAATGCGTCCTTCAATGCAAGGAACTTTATGTTTCAGGTATAGAGACGAAATTTGCTGGATCAAGTTGCAATGACCTCGTAACTTCTGATGGAGCTGGCTCTACAATAATTAGTGGTCATTTCGATCAAAGGATCAGGTTTTGGGATACTAGAGCTGAATCCAGCTCGAATGATATCCTACTGGAAGGGAAAGTTACGTCTTTAGATTTATCCCGCGGTAAGTACACTACATTTGAATCGAAACTTAATAAAAAGTAAAGCAACGCGGATTAATTGAAGATTCTATCAAATGTCAATTGAACATAATTATATTGTAAGAAATTAATTATTGGTTTTGAGATCTTTTCTATATTAAATTCAACCGGTACCGCAAATATTCAGATAAATGTCACATATTGTTTTATAAAGATATTTAATATGGATTGTAATACAATCATTACGCTCACAGTATATGACATCGGAGTAGAAATTTGGTGCTACATTACATGCAATTTTGTTCGTGCATTTTACAATGTCGATTAAGGTATGTCAAATGGAGCAACAACTGCTATTATTATGGCGACATTAATTATTTAAATCAAATACTCGATTTAATAGAAATGTCGCGAGTATTGTGAACGCACGAATATTGGCAACTATATCGGATTTTAAATTGTTTATTTTGTGTATTTCCCAAAGAACATGAATTACATTTTTGATCAAATCGAATTAATGGTTTTCAATATTATGCGACTCTGTATTAGCAACGAAAACAGCACAAGCAATTTTGATTATTATTAAAAGTTAAATATGGATACAGAAAACTTGCGATTTTATCTATCCAATTAATAATTACTTTACTCGTGAAATTGCAAATTAAACGAACGATAGAACCTAGACATTAAAACAGCATTTTATTTCTTTATTTAATATTTTATTTAAAACAAAAATTAGATTCAACGTTTAAATTAAATATTTGAAAAGATGTAAATCTATATGACAGAAAATAATTTTAATTATATATTCAATCAGACGGCAAAATAATATATATTTTATATTTAGTATACATAATACGCGTCCTGAATGAATAATTTGATGAAAATAAATACTAATACGAAATACTAATTGAGATATATTTCACAGCAAACTGTTATTGCGCGATGCATTTCGTTCATGAATTTTGTCTGCGTTACGCAAATAACTTTATTTCGTTCCCGCTTTTTATCGCAACGTCCTAATGATACGAATGAATTGGCACATGCGATCCTGCAACAATCTCAAAGCACTTACATCAGTTGCAAGTGCACTTTGTTCATTCAAGAGCGCTTCATTCAGGTATATTGCTTTATCGCATTTCATTAATCTCGATATCGCCAGAATGCGAGATGAATTCAAGTGAAACAATATTGCCCTGATTTTTAACTTCTGCAATTAAACGCACATCGCGCCTCTCTCTAATATTTTCTGCATTTGTCGGTCGATGCAACATATTGTAGCGATCTATATATTACGTGCATCTGTATAAAATCATATTATATAAATACATGTGTAATATATCAAATTACTTACATACTTAATAAATACACTTTCTACACATTTATGTAGAATAAAAATAAAATAATTTCCAAAATAACCCTGCATTATTTCTTACTACATCAATCTGATGTAGAAGGAAATTACGCAAATTGGTTATTCCAATGCACGGTACCGCAACACATATAAGTTTGTTGCACTAGATTGTATTAGATTTTTCAACATGGATTTGTACCACTTGTACATTCCATAAATGCTTTTATTAATAATTGTAATACACGCGATGATGTGTGAAAAATATTTCTGGTTAAGATTAGAATTCCGCATATAATTCAACCATGCAATTTGCGAATCATAAGGGAACAATTTGATTTCAGACGCAAATTATCTTTTGAGTTGTGTGAGGGACGACACGGTGAAGCTGATTGACTTACGAATGAAGAAGATTGTTGGGTCTTTCAGGTGGGTTATATACTTATATACGTACAACTAGAATATTAAGAATAGCGAATCATTATATGTTTGACTTATTTTACAGCGGTGACGGTTTCAAAGTGGGATTCGATTGGACAAGAGCCGCTTTCAGTCCTGACGGGCAGTATATAGCGGTGGGTTCCGCAGACGGTTCCGTCTTCATCTGGTCTATCGCGACGAATATGATCGAGACGATACTAAAAGGGCATGCGTAAGTAGAAACTTCATGTCGTCATAATTAAATTTCGAGTAACTGTGAAAAACCTTTTGTCGTTAACTATAAAATTTTAGAAGAAGATCGTAAAACAAATTCTGTCGAGTTAATCGAACTCATCTATATATTGTTTGACATACTCAATCTACAAAAAATCTTCTATAGCTTTATATCGTCCGCATATTATATATTCTTCATCGAATATATTTAGCTTTTTGCCCGAGGGACCGAAGACCGTAGTTCTTTTCTGTCGCATCGATTGGAAAGTGCACTGATACTAAAGCTTGAACTGTTATAAAATAAATGTGCGAAAAAAATATTAAAATTTTATGATTCTTTCCGGTATACGCTTGCCAGTGATAAAAGACATATTAAAACGCGAAATTTAGTTCCCAAATACATTTTATCGTATATTGATTTTTATTGAAGAGTTGTCGAGATATTAAAGGTCAATCGCTACGCCAATCCTCTAAAGCACGCCATCTTATTTTAATACGGCCTTTTTATTACCGTATTTACTCCGTAATCTGTACTCGACGTTATATTCTGCTTTACGACATTATATTAAAAATTCTGCAATATTAAAATATGCAATTACATCTGACATTTATGATGTCCAATTGCTTTATTAACTTTTTACTGTCAGTCTTATAGACGGCCAGCAGTCTAGAGATTGTTTTCTGTAATCCTGGTGTTTGCGACGACAGTTCTTGATCGCGCCAATGTGCGACTTTATTTGCGGTCACGAAATCGATATTGCTAACCCGCTGTTGCCCTTCGTACGTTCTATTTCGATATCGCCGTTATAATTTATTTCTTTTACACCTTTTTTATCGCAATACGTTTTGACCCGCTTGATGGATGCGAATTTCTCGTTTAAATTCACTCGCTGGAGCACTAAAGCGCCCGTAATTTTAGGAGGCACCTTCGAGTGCTCTGCATACTCACCTGACACGAAAAGTTCTTGAAGTACTTCGGTCCTCTGGTCCACCACGCGCAGTATACGTACCACACACACACATACACACACACACACGCACACACACACGCGCGCGCGGGGGAAAAGATTCGCAGTGGGAAGGGACAGGAGAATCTAAGAAAATATTTCGACGTGACCCGATTTTCGCTCCAACTTTTGCGCGTTGTATACTCACGTATACATATCTGTCCGTATCTATATATCGCCGGATGACTTCGCGATATCGCGAATTTATACGGTACCCTGGATGCTTCGAACTCTCGCCGGCGTCTACGCCGGCTCTCGCCATTGAATATGTCACTGCGAATGACCGAGGACTCGTTTACCAACCATCGAGCAGCGGGTGGAAAAAGGAAAACGCGAAAATCTGTGGAAAGAGAAAGAAATGCGGCGCGGAATGAGAGTGGCATAGGCAGCGATGTATCTCGTCCGCGTGCTTTCAGCGCCCTTTCACCTACACGAGCCACGTTGATCGACGCGTTAATCGGCGGCATCTCACGGAGAATGCGATGGTAAGAGTCGCTCCCGCTCGTCGAGGTGCTGAGAAAATGGATATGTTTTAAACACTAAAAACGTCAATTATGCCATTACGAAGAGGGGTGGTTAAACATGATATTACCAGTAAATCAATAGCAAGCGCCGTTAACAATTTCCGGGTATCACGCGTTACTTTACGATATCCAAGATATTTAATAATTCACAAATTGATGAACAGTTTAAACGTAATTTTTTGTCGTCAAGCAAACTTTATCGATGAGATTAAATCAATCACAAATCTACCGAAATATTCATTTTAATCGAGTTATTTAAGTATACATAGTTTGCTTCAGATTTTTGTCATCGCAGGGAGAATATATTTTCGCACGCGTAAAATGAAAAAAATGATCGGCCAGATTGGAAGGCTGAAAATCGTGATCACGATGTAAAATAATCCCTACGTGGTCGTTACATGGCGATAACGTTTAATTATTCTCAATTGAAACATGTCGTGCCCCGTACCAATCATACTATCACGTTCGCGGTAGCAGCAATTAGTTATTACGCGTATGTTGGAGCGTTTACGAACGTAAACGGTTTAATAGTTCATAATTACGACAGCGCATACGCCAACATTAATGTTTTCAAATTTAGATGACTGGTAATAATTTGTCATATTCCTGTCAGAATAGCATCTGAGGGCTTGCTAGTTACCAGCACTTCTACCAATTCATATATCAAGTTTAATTTACAAAATTGAGTGCGATTTATGTATCCATTGAACTTTATCGTAATCTCGTTATGAGATAAAAAAAAACACACCCTCCCCAAATTGTTATTACTACGTATTCTCTACTAGCGAAATTGCTGAAACGACGAAAGAAACAGATAATACGCGTCGAAAGAAAAGTAGCTTTGTCCTTTGTTACGCTTTTCAGTCCCGTTTTACTCAACGAAGCTGAACAGCGATCGTCTCGGCCGATCGCCCGGGAGTCTCACGGAGGATCGCAAGATCCGTTCTGCAATTATCGTCCGCTCCCGCCCCGCGCGCGAACGCGCGCTTCATTCTGTCGTCGCGCGGCGACCGACCTCGCCAATGCCGTCCTCGGCCTCCTCGAGTTTCTCAAGGACGCGGGATCTTTGGTGGCGGCTTCTCTGGGAGAGCCCAGCGGGCGACTCGAGTCCGGCGTGCATCTAAGTGCCGGTCGTATCGAAAAATGTCTTAAGCACCAGTCATGTACACGTCGCTCGGCTGTGTCGATGTGCGCGGTCGCCTATGCGTGTGCGTGTTTCACTGTTATTACTTTCACCCTGTAACGCGTAATCCGTGATCATCGTCGTCATCGCGTCGACCCATCCCGCGCGCGTTTTCGTTCTTTTATCCGGTCGCCGGTCGACTTTGGCGACTTCGTCTTCATTCTCGCCCTCGCGTCCTCTTCTTCGTCTTCTTCGCGCCAGCCGCTGTTCGCGATTGCAGCGCGCAACACCGCACGAGCTGAATCGTATAATTCGTACGTTGCGCTCTGTCCCCCGAGACTAACTTAATAACCGTTTCATCCTCTCACCCTCTTTTCTCCGTGTCCTCCTACGGCACTCTGTAAAGCGCGGAAAGCGGTACGATTCCATAGGTATTTAATGCACGCGCCAAAGAGCGTGCGCGTTTTCACGGCGCGACTAGGTTCTGGCTGTCGTGGTGCGAGCTATGAAATTTAGATATTATGCAAAAGGCACGAGTGTGCGAATTAAGGTAATAGTCGCGAAAGACGATGTTCGTTTCTACGATATCTTCTGTGTCGACAAAGCCGGCATTACGTATTCATAAGAAATAATTGAACGATTTCGTAAAAGAAAAAAGTTCAAGAAAGATATCACGTGAATCATATATATACGTTTCTATATGACGAAAAATTAAAAAGTAAAAGGGCATTGTTTATTTTTTCTCACAGAAACTTCTCTTTATTTGTGTCGTATAAAGAAAATTCCTCATATTTTTTCTTCATTAATTTTCTTTTAGATTTTTCTACTTTATACGTGTATAAAAACAGTAATATTATTTTTGTTTATAAATATATTTTTTAATAGAATATAAATGTTAATAAAAAACAAGCTTCACGCAATTTCATGTGAATTTCAGTATTATGGACTCACATTACTTCTAAAACAATTTATTACTCCACATTTTGCCTCTACATTTTCCCACACAATTTTCACCGCGATATACGTAAGCTACTTAAAAATATGGCTTTGCGCACAGAAATAAACGCTTGTAAGCGACTGCTGCCGTTCATTCTATACTAGTTGAGAAGTTCTATTCGGCATGACTCCCTTTCTGCGAGCACTTAGACTTGAATGTGCAATAGTATTGCCCGATAAGCTTACGCGCCCGTTCGTGTTCTAATTTGCAATCAACCGGCAGAATCCGCCGGTACACACGTCGGGAGGCGGGAATTTACTGCGCGATCCCCGGCAAGGATCTTGCCCGGCGAATAAATAGTGCCGCACGATTATAGCAGAACAGGTAATTAGGTATACGGGCGGGGAGGGATGCCGGCAGGCCCCGAGCTTTGAAATTAAAGTGCAGTTTCGCCCGAAGAATTTTCAGTTCGGCGCATTATGGAATCAGTGACCTCATTATATTCGTATTCGAAACTTTTCCATAAAAGACCCAGGAGATATATAGCCACCAGATATTTTTCGCTCATTTCATCGCATTTCATCGCGTTCGCTGCGTATATTGGATTTTAGAATCCGCTCAAAAACGCATTACTTGTACAAATTATGAATAATGAATAATTAATTAGTGCTCTGTGGCTTATAAAATTAATAAATTGCGTATAAATTTAAAAAGATAAACAATTGCGGTTAAATTAAACTTTTGGAACTGACGGAACTTTTTCCCGTCTCACATCCGTCTGTGAAGCGTCGACACGACCGCTGAACGCCGACGTGCCGCAATTGAGTAGCGACCTCATGATTTGTATAGCCTGTTATTAATAAATAAGTGCATAGCAGGGTGTGGTAACACTATACGTTATTATTCCCTCCAGTGGTAACTGACAAGTAACAACATCTCGTAAAGATTACTGCACCATATTTCAGTCACGCATGCATTTATGGCGATTTCGCACCGCGTTTTACGAGAGGACGGGTTGCCATGGTGGTTATAGGGCGACTAAAACGAGGAAAGTAGTTCGATTGACGTATTTCATGCACTTTCACAGCCGCGTTGCGATAATCTTTTCAGCGCCCAAAGGGATAATTAGTGTTACATTTCCGTAATTTCGTGAAGTGCGGCGCGAAGTTATCACGTTTTCGAGTGCGCGCGTTCAGATTTTTTTTTTCCCCCGTGATTGCCGCGTCGAGGCAGATTTTATCTACCGCGCGATCTTACATTCGCCGTAGCGACGGCGCGCTTTTCACGCGTCTTGTGTTGCGAGTTCTCGTAAGCCCGTCTCGAAGTTTAGCGTGTAAACGCAGTTTGCTCTCTCTCACACACATATACACATACACACACACACACACTATGTCGCGGATAGAACAG